CAAATCCATGATCCAATACACAAACTGCTTAATTCTGAATCATGGGATGTGAAGTAATCAAGTACTTACTTAAACTAATAGGTCATAGATGACACACATCAGTATAAGAAGCATATTAAATGAAGCTGCAGCAACCACTATTTGCAAATTAAATGAAGTGCGATGAAATAGCAAAAAAATGTAACAAAGTGAAAGAGAAGCAAATAAACCTACAAAAATAGCAACAGTTAAGCTCATTTTGCATTGAAATAGAGCTGTTATCTTTAAACAAATCCCAACCTGAATTTTGAGGAATTTATCGACCTCCACATCCTGTCGCTGCAATTCACTATCAATATCATCACCAATAAGAGATAACAAGGCCGAGTCACCGGAAGATGAAACACGGGTATTGTCAAGAGACAACCCTAACCCAGTTGAGACTGATCGTGCTTGCAAGAAATCAACAGAGGAAATCTGGGAGTTATTCTCCAAAAAATCTTGCTCCTTCAATCTCTTTCTCTTGGGTTCTAGCCCATAATTCCACTGTAATTCAAGTCCCCCATCACTGCCATCATTCCCAGGACCCGGGACAGGACCCGGAGCAAACCCCACCACATGAACTAGAACAACAACCACAAAATACCCAAGATTTTATGACTTGATTTAAGACCATGCTAGCTAATTACATAAAACTTGGTAGCCAAATTGTAAATAATCAAGCTTGATTTATCCTAAATTGATAGATAATTAGTAGCTGACATTTTCAATTAATTAACATACGCAAATAAATTGAAAAATCCACCGTCGAGTTCGCGATGACTTATTAGCTAGAAAAATAAATCAAGCAGTAAAAAGAGAAGTCGGAAAACTTACAAGGAGGGACATAGGGAGGATGCTGAGACTGATCTTGCAAATTAGAGGGATTAAAATAGGCCACTGCCGGAGAAATCTGGCCGTCGATTGCATATAAATTCCTGGGTTGCATAAAAATTGATAAAAAAAAAAAAAAAACGTTAGCTTCCGAAGAAATTAATGTAGAAATTGTCCTTTTTAGCCTAATTTACCTCAAATTCTTAGGTTGTTGTTGTTGTTGGTAGTGCTGTTGAAACTGGTGTTGGGGATGAGCCATGATGAGAAGGGAGACTCTAGAGAGAGAGGGGGGGAAGAGAGATGGGCTCTCTGTCCATATAGGGAAGGGCGAGGTGGCCGATAGCGGTGATTCTTTGTATTTTCCAGAAGGGCCTGAAATTATTATGAGTTTGTTTTTAGGCCTCGATAGTCTAGCTAATTAATAATTAGGCTGGTTCTTGGTTCACCGTTCGACACTACTAATTGGGCTAGGTCCGGTCTAGTGTATTAGCTTCTTGTCCGTGTTTGATGCTAAACTACGTCGTGTATATGATTTCTACGTGATTTGTATTTGATAGTAATTTAAGTGATTGTTTTAGTGGTTAAGAAAGTTTGTTTTATTTAAGTTTTAAAATTTAAATGTCAGAGATAATACTTTAAAAAATTAATTATTTTTTAAAAAATACACTGAATCAATATAAAAGGCATATAAAACTACAGAAATAAAAACAAAAACAGTAATAGCTTGATCATTAAAACTAATACTTTAGTGGCCAAGGAGTGAAAAGTTCAGGTAGTTAATATTTACAGAGAAACCATTCTAGCTGTGAATTGGCTAGGCTAATTAAGAACAATAGGGCTATTAATTTTAAGGAATAGTTTAAACTGTTAAAGTTTTGAGTTTGTTTTTTAATAATTATTAATTTGAATTTTTTAAGGTTATTAAAGATTTATATAGTTAAGATTATTAAAGATTTATATAGTTATTAATTTTAGAATTTATAAAGTTAATTAAAATATATATAAGTTGTCTCAAATATCTATATTAATTAAAAAAATATCAGGATTATTGTGTTGTTAGTGATTTGGATCTGGATTATGAATCCTGATTTTTTTTTAAAAAAAAAAGGGTTTGTTCCCCACCTTTTGTACTTAAGTCTATGCTTGATAGATTTATGTGTCTGGGAGAGAATATTAGACATAAAAACCCTGGAAATTGTTGTGAATAAAACTACATCATTGGAAAACCTTCGTCTCACCTGCCCAATAATTAAAGATATGTCAGCGGGCGAACTCGTGAAATTGAAAGAGAGGGCTAAGTTTGTTTGCGAAGATAAATCGATTATTATTAATGTAAATAAAAAAATACTATTAATATCTGTAAAAAAATTTAAAAAAATATACAAGAGATAAATATAAATTAAAATATTTAATCATATGAGGTATTTATTTAATTATATTTATTAAAATTATTTATTTAAATTAGTAAAAGATAAGTTTACACCCTAAAAAAACATTTGACTTAAAAGTTAAATACAAATAAAACTAATTGAATAAACTCACATTATAAAAAATATTACTCAAGGCCAAACACATTAGTAATATTATTTAAAAATAAATTTTTTTATTTAAAATATAATTTTTTTTTATAAATTAAAAAAATATATAGATGAATTAAAATAATATCTTGAAAAATCAAACATAAATAGAACAACTAAAAAAATACTTCTATTCAAAAAGAGCATGTAAAACTCATGACTTGGATCATGAAACCAAAAAAAACTTATAGCAAAAACTTAAAGATAATCATAAAACCAATACTAAAAAAATTAATGTAGAGCAATGAGATTATACAAAGCCAAATCTCCAACTTAAATGTTTAAAAGATAAAACCATAAAAAAAAAAATTAATCATAAAGATCTAAACAAGTGAGAGTGAAAAAAATTAATTAGAGGGATAAAATTTTTAATTAAAGGGTTAAATTGAACTAAAAATAGCTTTAATAAAATGAAAAACAAATCAAAAGAAAGAGGATAAATGTAAAAAAAAAATAAAACATTAAAAAATTTAATTGAATAATGAATTTAAAAGACGAAAAAACTTCTACAAAAGCGCTAGGGAAATTTTTTGAAAAAAAAAGGAAATTAAATTAAAAACAAAATACACGAGGAATTACAATTGAAATACTAAATTGAAAAAAAATAAAAAACTTATGTAAAAGAGATAAGAAAAAAATTAAAAATTAAAAGAATAAGAACTAAATTAAAAAAAAACATATAAGAAATTGTAATTGAATTACTATAAATAGAAAATGAGTGAAATAAAAAATCAAGAAAATGAGAATTGATGAAATTGACAAGTAAAAAAAAAAAAGAGGATAATGAAGCACGGTACTTGTTAGGAAAAAAAAAAAAAAATCAAAGGGCCACCAACAACAATTAAAGGATAATGAAGCACGTTACTTGTTAGGAAAAAAAGAAAGAAAAAATCAAAGGGCCACCAACAACAATTTAACCATTGTAAATTTCCACATAAAAAAGGACAGGGTGATGCTTATAAAAAGATAGTATAAAATCAATTTTGATTACCAGGTGATATTACATGCGTCACTTGATGGTGTGAATACCACTCAATCGCTAACATGTATTGAATATATATCAACAACTTCTTCTAATTAAAAATATTATTTTAATGGTAAATTACTACGCTAACCCCATACAAACCAACAATTAACAATAAAATTGAAGCCAAAAAACTTTAATACTCTTGACCCAAAAAATTAATTTTCTTAGATCTAAAGGTATATTTATAAATCTACTATATATGAAAAACAAAAAATACATATATACTCATATAAAAATATTATATAAATAAAATTACTTTAAAATAAATTAACAATAATAAATTATTCATATAAAAATACCAAAATACTCCTAAATAAAAAAACATCTTCTTTTTATTTGCCAAGGCCATAGACATTAGTCCTCTACTGTAGTGAATAGTGCACTGAATGTACGGGCATGGTTAATCCTCAACGCAATTTAATATCTTTATTATAGTTTTCTGTGTCTTGAATTCTCAATTGTGGATTGGAGGGGCCGTGGAATCATAAGTTTGGGCTCGAGTTTAGTTAACAAAAAATATCTGCTATTATATTTATTAATTAATAATTTTTTAGCCTCTAAAATATTTTAGTATATGAATATAAGTATATTAATTATGTGATGAGAATAAATATTATGATTAGTAGTAATTCATGAGCTATGAATATGTTCATCAATATGAATATTAAGACGGAGATAAGGAGATTACATTCTCACCAGGCACAGGCAGGAAGATTTTATATAATTAATCTGCTCCCTTGTCTTATTTTCAAATATTTTCTGATTTTACATTCAAAATTTTACGTCGATGATAATGGTTCTGGGTCTATCCCATGAACTGAACGTGAAGACTAAGAAGTTCAAAAAAAAAAAAACAAAAAGGAAAAAGGAAAAAGGACAGTGAATGTGAAGAGTACACGAAGAACATGTTACCTGTGAAGCCCAGTTGCACAGAGAATAGTGATCTACAGCTGTCTGTATTGGATGAATCAGACCGAAACAAAAACAAATTCAGAATCAATATGTTTAAAGAAATGGCATGTTTCAGCACCGCACAAGAAGCAGCGTTAATTAAGGCAGGCAAACTGGCAAGGGTTGTGAATGCAGTGTCCCCACCCCAATTCCAGTGAACATATAAAATCCCTTTCATGTATCCAAAAAAAAAATTCCCATTTCCACGTGACTCCGTGTTTATCGATCATAATTGTCAATCCTGATATGAAATCATAATCGGATGAGGATCTGGATTGTTCGGTTATCTCAAAACGATGTTGTATTAAAAAAAAAAAACTTCTTTGGATTAACCCATCTTGATTTCACTCGAGTTTACTCCAGATAATTAGATTACATGCAGGCTAATTTGTTGGGTTATGCAAGTTTGATCTGATTCAAAACAAACTAAATTTAAATCAAGTTTTAGATCCACATGAAACAAACCCGATCCAAAATAATAATTTCACTTCATTCCATCTTTCAAGTTTCCACATTAATAAATCAAGTTATTAATTTATGGAGGTTATACTAGATGTCACGAACCCCAATCCACATTAATAATTTCAACGCTCTCCTATATATTCTAGGTCCCACAATCTCCACTCTCCAGTCATTTTTGCTAGTACAATAGGAAATCCTGCAACCATGAGGGTTTCAGCTCTGGGTTTGATTGCTGCCTCCTTAACTTTTCTCATTGTTGTTAAAGCTCAGGTTGATTTAAAGGATTTCATCCAGCTGACGAGTGAAGATCTTGAATGGCCATCAGCATTGTCTGTCTCCGATGAGTTAAGTGACAGTGAAGACGAAGAGTATGGCGCCGGCTCTCATAGGAGGTCTCTGCATGGGAGAGCAAAGCACTATTACTTATCTTATGGTGCTCTCTCTGCAAACAGGGTACCTTGCCCAGCTCGCTCAGGGAGGTCTTACTATACCCATAACTGTTTCCGATCAAGAGGACAGGCTAACCCTTACACCAGAGGTTGCTCTTGTATCACTCACTGCAGGAGATAAGAGCTTGCTTGATTTTGCTTTCTCTTTCGTTCATTTTTCCCATATGTGTAGTGAAATTATTTGGTTTGTCCATCCCGGAAAGGAAAGCGTTTTCTAAGTTACGACTGCTTTCGCTGGGCCTGTGTTGAGACAGCATTTTATTGAATTTGTGCGTCTTACCTCAGCGAAAAAACTTAAGGTTGCAGCGAATAATTAGTGAAATCTTATTATAAAATCACTAGTTTCAAAGCAATTCTTCTTATCACAGCACAGTTATTTCACCTGCTTGCACTAAATTTCCCTCGTTCTATTTATCCAAGAACAAGGTCTTGATTTATTGTTTTTGTTTCTTGAGTTGAGTCTGGAAGTATATACACGATGCAAGAGACAAGTATAAGATTAAAAAAAAACATTATATTTGGTATCTGAAAACAGGGATAAAAACATTTTTTTATCTCCATCTTTTTTTAAAAAAAGAAAGAGTTGGTTTTTGTAATTGTCCTATCTTTTTGGCGTCGTTTTATGCAAGGAATGGAGTGATTCGACACCGTTTTTGTTTCATTTTGATCCCCTAATTTGACAATGTTAATTTCAGTATTTCTAAATAAAGAGCCAAGTGTTCAAACAAGTCCCTACATTGTTGCTTTTTAGAAAAAAAAGAAAGAAGGGAGATGGTTAAAGAAACAGAGGAGGAGAAAGAAAATCACAGGTGCACTGTTTTCAGTCTATAATGGATGCTTGTCACCCTCACCATTTCTAGGATGGCAACCAGGAAGCCATCACCATTGAGTATTTGAGTGAGCAAAATTGCATCATACGCCATCCATCAAGTCTTCCAAGATAACAAGAGACCCTCCTTCCTTCCTGATCTATAACTATAATGGCATTGTTTTTTGTTCCTTTTCTCATCATCTTCCTTTTCAAATTCATCGGCATTAATTAGAGTGTGGAAAACGAGTGGGTGCACGGCTCACCTCCATTAAAGTCTAATGCGAGATTTTTCGATGCTAAAGATCATGCAATGATTAAAAAATTAGGTGAAAAAATCAAAGTTGCTGTAAATGTAGTTGAAGATGACGGGATGGATTGTTATTGGTTCTCCTCGCTAATAGTCGACGCCAAATTTATTATTATTTATCGACCATGTCCTTGCTGGTTAGCATGTGCACAGATTCAGGGGGCTTCACCTCATGATTTGTCCGACACTGGAGAAGACAAGGAATCGATGCGGCGCTTTAGATGCTTTGATTAATATCCAAGCTATCATTTTCATATTATTGTCTCAATAATTGGAAGATTATGATTTGGTTGTTAAAGATTTTTTTTTTGTGGTATTTTTGAATTCAAATTCTAGGATTAATAATATTAAGGGAAAGATATGTCGCTCTGAAATCTACAATCACTTAAGGGATAAATCGATTATTTGTAAAGGGAATTCTACAGAGTAGGTAGATTCGCTTAAAATTTGTACATTATATATTTTAGTATGTGTTTGATTATGTATTGAAATAGAAAAAAAAAAGATTATGGAGATAAAAATATATTTGGTTAAAAAACAAGAATAAAAACATAAAAATAATTATATTATTTTGAATGAATTTTTACATTTTAAAATTAATAAATAAAAAATACAGAGAGGGTATATATTACCTTTGTCTTAATTAATTCTGACTCTTTTATGTTAAAATAATTATCAAATATTATCTCTATCTTTTTTTTAATACTGTAACCAAATGTTACCTTAAATGACATTTTTTTAGAGGCTGTGGGAAGAAGAAAGCTGAATTTTGTCATATTTTGCCGTGGAATGGGGTGCGCAATCCCTCAAATTTTACCGATGGATTTGTTTTCGAAAGAGACGAGGTCTAACACCACGTTTACCAATTATCGAACCCCAATTACTCTGAAATGAAAGAAATTTAAAGCAGATAAAGGCTACAGCTAACAAATTTAACAGGCCACTTGATGAATTCTAAGAGACCAAAGGAAAATAACTTGTGAACAAGATTACATCGTGGGGTAAAGCTTTATCAAAGAACTAAATTACACGAATGGTAGCGCTAACACATGAATTAACACTCATGTTTACATCATATTCTAGCCATATATATATATAATACATGTGTAGGGAAAATAAACAAATAGAGAGTCACCACTCACAACTCACAACGCACCGCCGAATGCAAGGCGTTATTTTCTCCCAATGGGCAGCTGGGCAAACCAAAAGGTCCAATACCGTGTGTGACTCGCCTTGCCCTGTTTGCCTGCTGAGCTGTTTTCCATTTCCACACTGACTTTCTAGGTTCTTGTCCTCGAAACAAAATAATGAATTAAAAGAAAAAATGTGAAATTCCTCTTCATGTGATGACAGATGATCAATCATATGTGCAAGCCTTGTGGAGCGAGATTCGCACGTTGAGCTTCTTTGGATCAAAAGTGAAATCACACTCGATTCTCTTGTTGAATTTTGGCTTAACCAATTTTCCCAAAACGTATGCTTTTGATCTAACAACGAAGTTCAATTTTAGAGGCACTGGTAATGTAGCTGTCCCTGTTGAACTGCTAAACGCAGCCCCACTCCCGTATAATGGTATTTTATCGCTGATAAGAGATATCGCTACCGATCTCTGGCTCTTCCTTGACTGGTAAAACTTCTTGATCTGCAATACCCAAATCACCAAATTAGAGAACTTTCAGGAATATCTTCATTTCTTTTGAACTAATATAGGAAAAGCAAGATTTCAGTTGGCTTACACTTCCTGATGCTAAAGTGATTTCAGAGTAGGATAGATCCACAGGTGTTGATGTCACATGGACTCCGAAAAATGTTCCTTTGTTGCGATAGGTCATCCTCACTGTGGAGTTCACAGAGATCATATCAGTTGCTACTCCTGTTGAATCAGAACCAGCTTGGATTCTAAATTGCTCAAATGTAACACTCTGCAAGAGAATAAACTAATTAAAGCCAACCAATTTCCTCAATTGTAATAATTTTCGTGAGAATAAATTAAAATATAGTATACCTTCATTGTGATCTTGGGTTTCTGTTGCCTGCTTGCCCCCCAAAGAATCAAAGAAAAAAAAGAGAACAGGATAAAGAAACCAACAACAAAAGCTAGGAAATAGCATTTACGAGGGAGACCCTTTCGACGCTCTTCATCATCAAGAAGTCCTTCTTCTTCAATAACATCACACTCTTTCCACTGCTTTTGTCCCTTTCGACCCCCTCTAGACGCATCGTTTGGTGAGATCTTGCGCGATCCAGGCTTCAGCGACCCAGAAAACCGGCTCGAAGAGGATTCACGCGAGTGGCGGCCAACAGAGGAGTGAGAATGAGGTGGGGATCCCATGGGGCTGAGTACAGGGGTGGAATGAAAAGACGTCGTAGTTTTCTCTCCATCGTGAGAGTCACGTGATGGGCTCTGTACGTAGTAGACTGGCCGGCGAGGAGATCTTGTGGGGGATGAGGGTGCTAGACTAGTGACCTCTGAGTCTGTCTTGGCGTGCATTTTTTTGTGGAGTGTCCTCAAAGAATGCAAACACGCTCTTAGGTCTTAATCAGATTTTGCTTTGATTGAGCACTGAGTCATATAAAATTGGAGAATTTGGGGTTTTTTTCTCCGTGGGCTTGCTGGAAATGATGGTGACCGTGTGGAAATTGAGAGAGGTTGGGTTTGTCAGCTCGTGGGCACTTAAGGCATGGAATGTTTGTAGCACGAAGATAGAACAGGTGTTTCGTGTCAATCTGTCAGGGTTAAGATGTAATATATTGTTAGGGTTTGGTAGAGGAAGAGGCGAGGAGCTAATTACGTGACAGTCAATTCACAGGTGGCACCGCACATCGTATCTGTTATTCAGTGTGAATGTTGGGTAAAGTAGCAAATATTATTTTTAAAAGTTTTTTTTATTTAAATAATTTATTTTTTATCTTTAAAAAATTATTTTGTTAACAGTATACTAAAATAATTTAAAAATAAAAAAATTACTTGAAGTAAAAAAATAACACAATTTTGGCTAAATTATCGTGCCAAGACAATTTTTCGGTGTTGTCTTTCCTATACATGTAGTTATAAAATACAGTTATCTAGATTGATAAGAAAATGTTATAGTCATATTAAATTAATCTATATTTTATCAGTCAACTTTCTTGAATTCAAACAAATATTATTGTTAGACTGAATTTTAAATATTAATATCTTATCTAATTTAATTAAAAATTTAATCAAGTTTAAATTTCAAATCCTAACAAGTTTTAATCAATTCTTTAAATCATGTCAAGTTTAATATCTATAATGGTTTAAACTATCTTTTAAGGATAGAAAAAGGAAAAAAAAAATGGAGTCGTACCATTGATGATTCACCGTTAGGATCCGAGGATGATGAAAAATCATGGTGCGAGAACAATTTGGGCCACTGAGCCATAGCGAACTCGAAGTTAAGGTATAATTATGCTTTTATGTTGGATTTGTTTTTTAATAAAATAGATAGTGTTAGCTTGTTATCTTAATGTAAAAAAATACAAGATAATAGAGATAAAAATATATAATTTTATGTATTTTATATTTTTAAAATATAAAAACTCATTTCAAAATAGATTTATAAACGTATTTATTTTATATTTAATTCCTTTTCACTTCAACAAAACATATTTTTAAACACAAACTAAGCATAATCTTAGATTATTCGACCACCATCTTCCCCGTATTAAGATTATTATATTTTCATCTCCTTCTACACAAATTACACAAGTTATTATTTTCATTTATAAAAAAGAATTATCCATGGATCAAAGCATTCCGTACAGGGTAATGCACTCCATAGTCCCGTGGGTTTAACTTGACTGCCTCTCTAGACTATTTTGCATTGCCAATAACTGAAACTGGCACAGAAAAATGAGAGGGAAAAATTGCATGACAATAAAGGAAATCGAGGCTATAAGCTCGGGAATAAAGTTATAAAACTCAGCTTGGATCATTATAATTTAAAGATTTTTAAAAAATATATTTTAGAAAAAAAATAACGCCAGAATTCATTTAAGTTTTGACAGGGTGATTAATTCGCTAATTGATTTATCCGCTTAAACGTATTTGACTGGACATGACAGATCAATTTCTACCTAAATTGATATAAATTCCAGAACATGTTTAATGACGTTGCTCGTGACTTTGGGCTTTGAATGGACATGTGAACACATGTGGAAGGATGCTGTCTCACGTTATTTGAACTGGCATCCCCATGATTCTTGTGTTTTATATCTTTACTTTTAAAAAAATACTTTTTTTAAATTAAAGAAACATATTTATTAAATACTTTTTTAAACAAGTATAAAATACATGCCTTCCAAACACGAACCTTATTTTTATAGCGTAGAATTTGAAAAAACAACTATTTTAATGTCTTTGATTTTTTCAAAAAAAGTGAAGATTTGAAAAAATAATTTCCATTCCCAATTAATAAACATTTTTTAAAAAAAAAAATTATATTTCATAGATTTTTTTTAAAAAATGAAAAATATTTTACAAATAATCGCAACCCAATTATGCAGTGTATAATTTATCCTGGATCACTGCACAATCTCCGAGAAGTAGAGAAAATTAGAGTGTTTTTTTTATTAAATAACATGGTTAATAAAAGTATTTTAGAAATTAAAAAAAGGGGGAAACTATCCATTTCCAATGTCAGCAGCACTTTCCAACCATGATAGGCGGTGCCGTCTAACGAGCCCATTGGGCAAAAGGTGGAATTCCAAGGAAAGGATAAGGGCATTTTAGTCATTAAAGGTCTAGTGATCGCAGATCTGGGCGTGTGAACCCACTCCTGTTTCATCTGGTCGGTCCTGTCACGAATCAATCTCCACGACATGAAAAACTTACCAACAAAAATTAATTATATTATAATTAAATTAAGTACTATTAAAATTAAAATACTTGTAGTTAGAGGGGTCTATATTCACAGCTATGATTTTAAATGTTAAATTAGATTGTGAACAAAATTTTTATATTTTTTCTAGTTAGCAATAAAGGTTTTATATTTTTTTACTTCTATACTTTAGTTTTGTTGAAGAAATTCATTAACTAATGCTCATTTGATTTAATTTTAATTTATTATAGTTTGTCATTGAGTTTCAAAAAAATTGAATTTTATTTTTTAAATTAATATATTTTTTATATTTTTAAATTATTTTTATGTGTTTATTTTAAAAATAAATTTTAAAAAATAAAAAATATATATTATTAATATAACTTTTTAAATAAAAATTATTTTAAAAAGTAACTATATAATTAGACTTCTGAAGACGCTGGGGAGACAACACAAAATTTTATCAACCGGACTCGGATCTTCCAGCCCATGAATATGCGACACGGTAGCCCATTCAGGCTTCGATTGAAGAGCTGCCTTTACTGGTGGGCTCTCTTAGCTCCTAGGAAAGGACTGTACTAAAATAACAATGACCTTTATACTATCTACATAATTCAAATACGGAATCGAAACTGAAAATTATTACATATTTTTTTGAATCTTGAACTAATTCATTCATTAGATTAATAAGAATTAGATTAATAAGGTATTTTCTGATTTTTTTTAATTGATGCAATCATTTAAATTCTAAACATAATTAATTAGAATTGAATTAATTGAGAAGACAGTTTTATTATATTCTTTTTCATGAAGCATTATTTATTAAGTTTTATCATATTCTTTTTCATGAAGCATTATTTATTGGAATTACATTTCTCTTTATGAAGCATTATTTATTAGAATAGTAATTTTTTTTATTTTTAATTAAAATTGAATTAAAAACTAAATAGTAATTTTTATTATTATTTTTAATTAAAATTGAATTAAAAACTAAAGTGGATCAGGTTTAAAAGTTCTCAAGTTTAAGATTTATAAACAACATAGATATTTAATTATTGAATTGAGTTAAATTTTTTTAACATGTTATACTAACATTGTTTTATGTTTTAATTGTGATTTTAAAATTTGAAAAAGCTTAACTTTTTATTTTTCATTATACATGAATCAATCTTAATCACTTCCATCAAAAATTAAAAGTTGAATTTTTAGTCAAATAACTTCAATCAAATATTTGATATTCATAGAATTATGTGTGCACGCCATAGCATCCAAACTATTAGGTTCTTCTGACGAGTCCGAACTTTTCAGTTTTCACATCTTCTTCGGCGGGGATGATGTGAAGTGCCGCTAAGCCAGCCATGAGAGGATAAAGTTGGATCAAAAGTTCTTAATTACTTGGAAAAATGTATAGCTCATACGTAAGCCATGCCATGGATGATGACACCGATATCATGGTCCATTTCTATGGGCATCAAACCAGCCACATCGGATCTCCATCTTCCATGATAAGCCACCCCTTTATTAGATTTTCTTGAATCATCCGATTGACTATATGAAGCTGAAAATTGGTGGAAGAAATGGCTGCAAAATCTCATCTTCTTAACTGACAAATTGATGATCAAAGTTTGTAGTTTTCTTAGCTTTATATCTATTCCATTCAGTAATGGGCAGATGCTTGCAGCTAGCTTTCTCCATTTCTCAGCCAGAACATGTGAGAGTATGGGCTGGCAGGAATTGTTGAGTGGAAAGAAAATCGAGGAAATCCAGCGTCCAAAATGGGTGGACCTGAAAACGTGGAGAAATTCTGCATCTTGGACCACTGTTCTCTGTCATCCCGTCACAAATTCAACTACAGCCCATGCAAGTTTTAGAGATTCTGTATATTGAACACATTGTCTCTCATCCAGCATCTTGACTGCGTTGGCTGGTGATTTTATACTTATTTTCATAGTTATAAAAATCGTTGTGGGATAAACTGGTGATTTCTAAATCAAATAATTTTTCTGTCAAATAATATTTTTAATCAAAATAATAATGTTTAATTTACTTTATTTTTAATATTTTTAAATTATTTTAATGTACTCGACCATTTTATTTAGATGATATTATTCAAATTAAAGGTAAATACTTAGATTATTTCACCTTATTGATTTTTCTTGATAATCTCTGGGTGTTTATTTTGATTTGATTTACTGTAATCCTTCATTTTGTGACTGTTATAATTTGGTGGTATTTTTTTTTGATAGTTATGAAAAATAATATTTTCAATAATTTTGTAAACAATACCTTAGAAACAGATGGTTAGATGAAATCAATTTTAGGAATCTCGTATACTAATGTTTATTTGTTGGTTTTCACTGCCAAGTGCCTTTAATTTTTTTTTTTAATGATCTTTGAATTATTTTATGGCATATAGAATGCTTTATTTATTATTGATATAGGAAATATACATTGTCTTGTTGTTTTAGGTTTATGACACTTCAACGTGTCTTCTTTTCTAGAATGCTTTTTCTAATGTCTTCTTTTTTAACACGTGGCTTAATATAATTATTTAATATCAAGATTAACCACTAACGTGACTATTTTAACGAGTCATTACTGTAGCTTTTTGTCATTAAATGTAACAGTTTTACCATTGTATTTTGATCAACTTCAAATTGTAAATTAACAATAGTTTTTTTAAAATTATTGTCTGAATTTTTTTTAAAACAATGTCTGAAATTGTCTTAAACAATTTCAGACAGTTTTACATGGTTTTTTTAAACCATGTCTTCAGTGGTTTTTAAAACCATGTATGAAATTGTCTTAAAAATTTTCCTCGAAGCCGGCCCCCTGATTCCGCCCCTGACTCTACCTATCTTGAGAAAGGGG